ATCTTGGATATATTTTTCCTGCAGTGTTGAATAACTGACCCTCTTTGAAACCCATTTTAGAATACTATAGATAGTTAAAGATATTTACTCTACTTTGAATAATAATTTGTCAACTAAAATGTCTTAAAATGACTCCATCTAATTCTTTCTCATTAAAAACACAGAATCCATTGATACACAACTGTTGTGAGAGGTTTCAAGCTTCCACATCAGACTCACTGAAACTACTAAGCTCAGATTCAACATGAACCCAGAGAAACTTGGAGTGCATCCACGAGAACAGGAGATGAAGGTGAGGACAGCCTCATTCCGAACAATTACCGTCAAAGATTTAGCCAAGTTACTAAAACCAAAACAGGCAGTGAGGATGGACTTTTTAAAGGAAATTTTTAGGCACCGTCACTGACACTGGTGATTGTTTTTTCACCGTTATCTCTGCCTCTAGTATATCCTCTCTGGACCGATCATCCCTCCAGTGTGCCTTTCTCGCATCTGTTCTTTGCTTCTGCATCTTTAGTGACGCCGCATCAGTTTTCCAAGTGGCCCATGATGTAAATTGCACATTACAGTTTCCATTGCGAAAGCACACGATTGTCAGCTGGCTGTGAGTGTCTGGCAGCCGTTCTTGCTCATCTGATCCATGTGCTGATTTTGAGGATAGTTATCTTTATTGTGTTCGCGTTGCATCCACCGTCCAAATCTGCTCTCTTTCATTTCCGATGTTTCCCGTAGTGAGCTAGCCAAACTGGAGTCGCCTTCCTAATACTTCCTGGCTGGTTGAACGGGCTTAGTTCTTTTAATGAAGTTTTCTCAACCGTCCCTGCATCTGTCTCTATTAATCTTTCCATAAGATACAAAGCAAGGGATGCCGTGGGCTCCCGTTGACCAGTTAACCATCCTCCTCCCATGGGAGCCCTGTTGTGTGTCTGATTTCTATCTTTCCATCCTCTCCAGTGCAGTTCTTGTCGTATCCTGAGGGTTTAAGGACAGTAGAACGGATGTCTCCCGTTATGCTGGACTGAAGCGTGTTTACCCTCACGTCCTGTTTTTGGAATACGTTTCTCCAGAGATGCCCTGTGCTGTTATTACAGCTCCGGGCCTGATTTGTCTCATTGGCTACAGAACATGAAGACTCCGTTCACCGTCTTTAACTGCGGGCCGCTGTGTCTGGGCTCAGGAATCATGGGAATGCAAGTTGTGTCTCCAGTAGCCAGAGCAGTCAATCTGAATCATTTCTGTGATGTTTCCCTTTTTACACACAGGCTTAAGGTTCTCTAACAACCACTCAGACTCTCTGGAATTATTATTTTTTTCTGTTCAGGGATAAACAAATCTTGTTAAGGAGATTCTTATTTTATGAAGTAATATGTTAGTCTTAATCTAAATGGATTATAAGAAAGCCTTGTGAATATGAAAATCATCATCATTATTTCATTTTAATCGGCTAAAAAGTCCAAGTTTGGTATTCAGAGTGGAATTCACAACCCTTTTGTAATTTTTCACTTTCATCTCATGCATATTTGAATGTTTTTGTTCATTGTCACATCTTTTATTCGTCTGCTTGGAGGATTATGTTGGTAATGATCAAGATGTGCTGAATTACAAAACAGACAGCTTCAAAAAGTTGAACATTCTAATCTTGGCCTTTATACCTTCTTTATGTCACAGCTGTATGTAATTTCAAAGTAATGTCCTGCTTATATCTTGAACACCTCATACATTAGTGCCTCCTGAGATGCTCCCTTTTTGACATCCACTCTGATCTTTGCATAGACTAATGTAGAGAAGTATCATTTGGAACTAAAAAAAAGAAAAAGATAAAGGTCAGCAACCTGCACGTTCTGATTTAGAGGCACATCTTTGTTTTGTATTCATAAAACCGCAAATATGTTTGTCTCCTGGGCGACTGCAGTCCAAAGAAGACCACGTCAAACAAAACATTTAATTATCTGTTTACTTTATGGTTGAAGCTATGACAATGAGCAGCATCTCCACGGAGGCCGCCAGTAATGCATTGGTTATGTAAGTTTATATGTACTTTTATGTGTTCTGCTTTGGCCTCGGGGCTGATGGTAAATCAGTGCTTCAATAAACAGGAGATCCAGGTTTATAATCATTAAAATCTGTACCAATATTAGTTATGCAACTTGGACCTACATCGACGATATAATAAAAAAAATACAGAGCAGCCGCTTTAGTTTTATGTCACTTTCCTCTCCTGTCAGGGGTTTTGTTGTTGAAGCATTAGTTGCTTTTAAATGAATGCATAGTGCATCTTTCTTTAAATTTGTGGACCTGCGCGGGGCGAGGAAACTAATGGAACACTTCAAAGAACAGTGAAGCACTTGAAAAGGCTGTACAGTGCAGGCCAATTAGCTGTATGGGCAACACTAAAAGGCTTAGTAATCACAATTTAAAAAGCTACAGAGGACAATTTAATAAATCTGAAATGGAAAGAAATGTTCCTTAAACATATGGCAAAAAGTGTGTTTTAATGCATCATAATGTCATACCTGCCTCCTAGAAATCACATTTACACATTGTCAGCCACAATGTCAGAACCACTGACAGGTGAAGTGAATGAAACAGATCATCTTGTTACAATGCACTGACCTGCAGGAAATCCTTCGCTCCTGCACTCTTGGATGTCACTTTGGCATCTACCAAAACATTGCTGCAGTCCAAACACACCCTCCTACTGCAGTGGCATTACCAGATGGCAGTCGCTTCCTCCTGTCTCATGCCACTCTCTGCAAAAACCGCTCAGCAACAGCTTGAGGAACACGACAAAGAGCCCGAGACATTGACCCGGCCTCCAAGCTACCCAGATCTCGATCCGATCGAGCATCTGCCAGATGTGCCGAAACAATCTTGATCAATGGAGGCTGCACCCAGCAACCCACAGGACCCAGAGGACCCAGAGGCCAGACACCACAGGACATCCCAGAGGTCCTGTGTTCATGGACTGAAGTGTAACATAAAAGAGAGCTAGGGAGAGAATATAAGGCAGGGGGTGTTAATGCTCTGACTGATCAGCATACATAGCACATTTTTCACCATGATAGCTTTTTTTTTCTATTAAAATGAGGAAAATCTGTCAATTACACAGTAAACTGTTTGTTTTCTCCACTATCTTAACTCTTGCAACACAACATCTGGTCATTATCAGTGTTAAGCGAGCAGGCTATTTATGGTAGGACTTCTATTGTGTAACTGTATCTGAGGCCAGTGTAGAAAAAAAATATAAATGTTATCATAAGTACAAAAGCTGGAGCGCCCTCATTGGATGTTGTGTGCATATTGTTAAATTTATTCACCTTCTGTACAAAGACTTGATAGAGTTGTGATGTGTTCCTCCAGCACAATTTTGTAAACATCATTTCACTGTAAATGTGT